ATAATTTCTTCTATTTATAGTAGAGACAGGAGTCTCGCTCTTGCTCTTGCTCGGGCTGGTTTTGAACTCCTGACCTCGAACAATCCGCCCGCCTCGCCTCCCAGAGTGCTAGGATTGCAGGCGTAAGCCACCACGCCGGCCTGGATGTGTGAAGATTTTTAAGGCAGGTAGGAGGGCAGGGGAATTTAGGAGTGGACTAGTGAGGTAAATCTTTTCAAAAAGAGTTGAGACTGAGGTGAGCTGGAAATATGGGCGTTTGCCAAGTGGACCGATGAGATTGCAAGGACATTCAAGGTGTGTGCCAGACAGAGGGCTGGAGCAAACCTAGGAAGCTTATAACGCAGTGTGCATTCAGTGTGGCTGGAATCTAGGCTGCATGGGGGTGGGAGTAGGAGATGAGGCAGGTATAAAGAGGTTCCAAGAAATCTTTTTCAAATAAATGAAAACCTACTGGGATGGCTTTCCAATAGACATGTTGTTTCCTTTAGATCTAGGTGTGTATAATCAGGTTCCTAGTAACATTATCTGCAAGTGTTCATATCCTAGCAGAATTATGTAGGTGTTATCATTCAGTGAAAATGTTGTAGTAGACACTTTAAATTCAGAGTTTTTTACCTGAAAATCTTATTGCTATAAAAAGTTTATCATTGAAATAGGGAAAGATTGTAGTTGTATGCTACACTGTTGGTAGAGTGTGAAACCTAAATCTGGAAATGGGTTTTCCTTGTTTTAAATGTCATGTTATTGATTTCTAGATGCAGTATATTATCTGAAGAAAAAAATCTAAATAAATAATTGAAATATTAAAAGAAGATGCTGAGGAATTGAGCTTTAGGGTTTTCCATTATCAGTAATCCTAAGTACTAATAGAGACTAATAGAAAGTGATTTTTTGATGGAAAGCTTGAAGGTTTGACGTAAGAAGAGATATGCTGTAATTTATTTATATTTTAAGCAAGTTTGTTCTGAGTGCAGATAAGGTGTCATGTGTTTTGGCAAGTCTGGCGAAGGGCTGTTAATTGTGCTACTGCCAATATGAAAAATAATTGTGTTCTCAGTGAGTTATTACCACCACAAACTGGCCCGTAGTGTCTGAGTAGGTTAATATTGCATTGGATCTAAAGGATGTGAGTGGGAAATTTGTATTTACTGTTAAGTGACATCCATGTGCCTCTGAAGGTGGTTTTTGGTTTTAACCCTGGTTATTAGAGCCTGAACTAGCTAGCACTTTATAAAATAGATAAAATAGAGGGTGATTGCCAAGCTCTGAGTTACCATGGGAAATTGACAGGAAGAACCAAGATCTGTTAGAGTCGAGCCTGGTCAGGGTGGTCATAGAGAGCCGTATTACACTGCTGTTAGACCTTACCTGAGCATCGCAGTTTTGCTCTGGGCAGTGATTCAAGTAACTCTATTTTATTAACATGAGAGATCTGCAACAAGATTTTTTTAAAAACTGGTTTCCTTTCTTCTTTTTCTCTCTTTCCCTCCTCCCCTTCTGCACTCCTTTTCTTCCTTCCTTTCTCTCTTTCAGAATAAAGTACTCCTTTTAACCTAGGAAAGACTTAAAGATTTCAGCAGCTAAATAACATTTTCCTACGAACCTAAACATTGCTTCTTGCAAGGTCAAGAGTCTTCCCCCATGGTTTGGCATCCACAGAGCAGCAGGAATCTTCTAAGCACCGGTTCAGCTACTGCTTTTACTAACTCCTTCTGCGCCTTATCCCTTCCCCCAGCCCCCCGCCCCCACATACCCTTGGTGTCACTTATGGAAAATTCCCAGCTCTGATCCAAAACAGTCCTGTGCATGCTTAAGTGTGGTTCAGAGGGTCTGTTGAGGATCTTTCTATTCGGGGACCAGACACTGATACGGGCATGAAAAAGAGGACAGTTTGATTCGAATCTCCAAGGACTGCTTGGGAAGTATCAATGGTGGATTGTGTCATATTTATTTATATTGACCCACCTCCAACTTTTATATATATTTCATTTTACCATACTAAATTTTTCCTTCCTTTTCTGTGGCCTGGACTTAAACTCCTATCTTTTTCCCTCACTTATCACTTTCTTGCTGTCTGTCGTTATTCCTTGTTTCCATTCTGCAGTCCAGATCAGCAGTGACTGGGAAACAGGGAGTGAAGAGAGAAGGTGACGCATGTCTCAGCATTGTCCTTGTGACCTTGCAGCTGTCTCCTCCTCTGCCTCCCTCAACCCTGTCACCTCTCTGCCTGCATCGGGAAGTACAGCCAGCCCCCGACTTGTTCCCACATTGTGCCTGACGCCCATTCACCCCGTCTTCATCCTATCCTTGTGTGAAGACCATGAGATTTAGAGCTGGACTTAATGGCTTGAACTCTGGCTTTTTTCACTTATTAGCCATGTGACATTGGCCACATTATAAAATTTTCTAAGCCTAAATTCCTCTGTTTATGGGGTCCCTATTTTTGTAGTTATGATGAGGATGAAAACAAAATAATCAATGCAAAGGGGTTGTGATACTTAGTAAGCACTTAATAAATGTTACTCGCTTTTACTGTCTCTATCACATCATCCTTATCACAGTTATTCATAGCTTCATCGAATACGTATTGAGCACTTCCCGGTGTCAAGCACTGTGCTAACAGGTAGGAATAATGCACTTCCTTATAAAAAAAAGAAAAGAAAAATTTTAAAGCAAAAAAATAAAAATAAATTTAAAAAATAATAATGCAGAGAATAAGACAGCACAGTCCGTTCCTTACAGCATTTTAGTCTATATATTTTTTTCTTCTTCTCACCTAAGGCACAGGACTCTCTGAAAGACTGTAGCCCAGAGTTTACGTATTCTGTCTCCACTCCTATCCTAGATGAAAATGCTATAAAAATATTTCTGTAGGAACGTTGTTATATATTGAGAGTAAGGTCCCATTGTCCTATTAGTTCTATCAGGACCACACACAATGTCAAGTAATAACAAGGTCTTCAAAGGATAATAAAATAAGATATGGACTTAGTGATGGAGTGTGCTGTTATAAACTATTCTAGGAAAGCCTCTTTGAAGAGGCGATATCTGAGCAGGAACCTGAATGATGAGGAGGAGTCGGCCACACCAGTGTTGTGTGTGAGGTGGTTCTAGGCAGAGAACAGCAACTGCAAAGACCTAAGGTGCACACATTTGCTTAATGGGAATGGAGAACGGCAAGGAGTGTGGCAAGAGCACAGCCAGTTTAGGGGAGAATGGAACATAAGGAGGCTGGGGCACTGGCAGCTAGAGTATATGGAATCTCATAGGCTGTCATCAGGACACCAGTTTTTCCTAAGTGTGTGTGCAAGAAGCCCTCAGAGAATTTTGATTTCTATGACTGAGCTATGGAGACTAGACTGGAGGAGATCAAGAGTGGAAACAAAGGGCTGGTCCGAAGGTAGTGAGTTATTTCACTTGATTGTTCATAGTCAGTTACAGATTGAACTCCTTGTCCTACTACTTTCCCCTCTTCTCACTTTCCCCTCTACTGCACTTGACTAGTCTTACCGAAAAAAAAAGTGGAAACAAAGAGCCCAATTAAAAGGCTATTACAGCATGTATGAATAAAGTTTTTGAGACTATATGTTATACTTTCCAAATAAAAGCAACTTTTTAGTTTATAAGTTGTTTGTAAATGAAGGGCAGGCTATACCTGTTTTTAAAATGATAAAAAACAAAATGTTAAAAAACATCAATCAATAAAAATCTTGAGATGATTTTATTAAATATAAATATTTCTTACATCTAAGTCTTTACTCTTATTAAACAGTCCAAGGAAATGTTCCAGACCCTATAAGTAAAGGTCAGGCTGGTCATCTTTATCTACATGCTTATTTTAATGTGGAAAGCATCCCAAGAGACTAAGAGCTGCACTGATAATATTCAAATCCAAGTTTCTAAAACCATCAGAGATAGAAAAAAAATCTTCGCCAAATATCCCTTTCGAATGTGATAAACTTGCCTTTATTGTAGAACTTTCCATGCTGATGTTTTCATGCTTCCTTTGTGTTTCATCTTTTAGTGCATTATCAAATTATAGTGATTTGAAGAAAGATTCTGCTGTGAACTTACATGCTCCTAGAACCCCAGGAAGGCACGGATTGATAACCACACCTCAACAAAAACCCCTCTCCCAGCACCCACCATGGAAGCAGGAAAATGACACAGACCAGACTCCGGGTGCAGAGACTTGCGTGGCCAACGGTATAATGGCGGCGCAAAGCCAGATGGAATGTGAGGAGGATAAAGTAGATGCCCCTCTTCAAACTTCGGAACCCTTGCTTGATGCACACTTAGCGAATGGACAAAGAGATGAAACTGCTACAGTTCCTGAGTCACCCACCACAAATGACTGTGATGGCGATGCTTCTGATGGCAGCTGCAGGACTCCAAGCATAGGCCCAGAGCTCCCCCTAGAAGGAGGGGCAGAAACAGAAGCCAAGGTCCTAGATGGGGAGAATGGAGAAAGCCCTCTGGAACTGGAACAGCTTGACCAGCACCAGGAGATGAAGGTAGAGCACAAGACTAGCTCACGGGGAGGGGAAAACACTGCCTATTCTGCTGTTCTAAAACTCCTTATTTCGTAGCACTCACGAAATGAATGAGTCAGATCACCCACACCAGTTGTTGAACGATTTTTCAAGCTCTGGTGGCTAATGAGCGTTTCCTCTATGCCGTCAGGAGTCATTTCACTTTCTATGTACTTTCTGTTGATATCTCTATTGTAATTTCAAAAGTCAGAATGGTGTGGAGACTTTGATATAAGAAAACCATAAACATATTGCTTTTAGACAGAAAGATAAAGTTCTTTGCTCTTGATGTTCGTGTTGCATCCCTAATATCTGTGGGCTAAGCCGAAAGAAATTATATGATCTCTTTTTTCCCCCAGAAGTTTCTAATCTAGTCAAGTTAATAGTAAGCTGGGAAGATGAACTTGCCACCAGCAGATGTTACTTTTAAGAACATGAACGTAGAAGTATTCACAAATTATTAATCAGAATATATTTATAACTCTTTCTAGGCTTCTATTTTTTTAATGTTTTCTAATTAATACCAAATTTTATAATAAATGGCTTAGTTTGAGTTGGAAGACCATGTAAAGATCATCTCAGTTCAGCAATTCATTTATAGACGAAGAAGCAGTCAGTCCTTGAAAGCATTTGTGATTTTTCAAGGTCACACTGCTGTTTGTGATCAATAATAGCTCAGACTCCTCCTGCTGTGCCTTGAAGGCCGGTGTTGTGGCACTGGTGCAACAAATCACACACTTAAATGGCTAAATGCAAGAAATGTTAATGAGTACAGCAGCCATGGGTAATAAGCTGGTGGGGCTGTCACAAACTGGACATTCATGTCCTTTCTAAAGAGGAAAAGAGTGTGCCTGGTGTTTCTGTACATGTACAAAATGTCAGCTAACAGTTGATTTGCTAGTGAAATATATTCATAATTTACCTATACTATTGCAGAAATTTTTATGTAATGCTAGTAACAAGGCCGTTGCAATTTTTTTTTTTTTTTTTTTTTGAGACAGAGTCTCGCTTTGTTGTCCGGGCTAGAGTGAGTGCCGTGGCGTCAGCCTAGCTCACAGCAACCTCAATCTCCTGGGCTCAAGCAATCCTCCTGCCTCAGCCTCCCGAGTAGCTGGGACTACAGGCATGCGCCACCATGCCCGGCTCATTTTTTCTATATATATTAGTTGGCCAATTAATTTCTTTCTATTTTAGTAGAGACGGGGTCTTGCTCTTGCTCAGGCTGTTTTCAAACTCCAGACCTCGAGCAATCCACCCACCTCGGCCTCCCAGAGTGCTAGGATTACAGGCGTGAGCCACTGCGCCCGGCCGAGAATATTAATAAATATCTCTTACAAAGTACTTGGAATTTCTCGGATCAAAGGTGCAATATAAACATCATCATAGTAAATTTCTCTAGAATTAGAAAGCCGTTTACATGTCCAAAGACAAGAAAAAAGTTTCCATTGTTTGGTCTCTCTTATTGCTTATAAATAACTACACTACGTAGGAGAGTTGAGAATGGAAAATGTGACAATTTTAGGAAAAATTGTAAATGAAAAATCCAAGTCTTAAATCTATTAAGGATTCTTTATGGTGCTGTGCCTTAATTGGCTTTAACATAGGCAGAAATTCAAAAGGACCAATACTAAAATATTTAGAGTACAAAGTGGCAGATATATTTAGAACTTTAATCAAAGTGAAATCAACCTTACGGTACAATTTTCACTGACCCTAAAAAAAATCCCAAATAGAGAGGCAAATGGTTTATTTCCTTCTAGTTAGTGAATTAATTATAAATACTGACTCTCAAGCAGGGAAAGTTTAAGTAAAAAGAAGTGGGTGGGAGAAAGTGAGTCACACTTGTTAACATTATCTGAAACTTGAAAGAAACAGAACATTGCAAAGTGAATCTCTTTACATTTCAATAAGGTGGTAGATTTCAGTGTCTTTTGTGCTTGAACTATGGTCAAGGAAGAGGTTAGAACCAAGGAAACTTTTTTACCGTTGGGATGATGCCACCAGCAACTATTTACAAAACAGTAAGACCTATTCTTATTAAGTGAAATATTTTAATTGATGAAAATGCTTGGATGGTACTTTTCCCTGTTATATATTATTATGTATACATTTTCACAGATGAGTCTTTACTTGGTTTTGGAGAGATTTAATAGGGTTTTCCTCTTAAACCAGTGAAACTTACGATAGTACTGCTGTCCTTTCTCCTGAGTGGGCTTTTAAGCAGTGCTATATGTGGGGGGAAAAGGAAATTTTTTCTGCAGAGCTGTTGATGCAAACACCACATCTCTCCCATTAAGGATTTAATATCTACAACGTGATGGTGTGTTCTTTGCTGCTCTGATGTTTGTTATATTGCCTTTTCTTGTTCCTGAATGCAAATATAAATGTTAATAGTGTTGAGGTGGTAAATTTTGTTAGGTGTATGTTACCACAACTAAAAATTTTTTTAAAAAAATAAAAACTTTAGTAGTATATAGTGGCCCCAGCAATTGGAACCATAAAATCTGGTTGCTTACTTTTGGCTTGTCCACGAATTAGCAGTATGAGCTTGAACAAGATAATAAAAGTCTTTGTGTTTTTAGTTAAAGGATATAAGCTGTATATGATCTTAAGGCCCTTTACAGTGATAATACAACATTTTATACGGTTGCATATAAGCATGTTCCCTTGTTAGCATAATCCTCCAGATTATCAGCTGCCTCTTAAACTAACATGTTGAACTTCTACGATATAATGGAATATTTAGAGTTTCAGTATGCAGACAACTGAAAAAATTACTTCAGTCTTTATATAACTGGATAATAGAGATTTATATCAGAATAGTCTTAAATAAGTTTCATTTGGCCAGGTGCAGTGGCTCACACCTGTAATCCCAACATTTCGGGAGGCTGAGACAGAAGGATCGCATGAGGCCAGTAGTCCAAGACCAGCCTGGGCAACATAGCCAGACTCTTGTCTCTACAAAAAAATAATAAAAAAATAAGAAAATTAGTCAGATGTGGTGGCACATGCCTGAGGTTGAGGCAGAAGGATAACCTGAACCCAGGAGTTTGAGGTTGCTGTGAGCTGTGATGGTGCCAGTGCACTCCAGCTTGGGTGACAGAGTGTTACCCTGTCTCAAAAAAAGAAAGAAAACTTGTAAGTTACAGGCTAGGAAAAGGGAAAGGAATATTGTAGTGTGTGCATGCACTCTTGTGCTCTGCAAACCTGCACCCTTAAGGACTTCATGAGGCAGCAGTATTATAATTCCTGTGTGGCATGATGAATTGGGGTTATCATAAATAGCTTAAACTATATTAAATATTCTGTTTATGAGACTCAGGTAAATGGATGGGTCAATTCATTTTAGAATGAATTTCATTTAGAATGATTTTCTTTTCTCAGATTTGCATACTTAAGTGGATAAGCTTTAGTTGTCTAGAAATCCCCTAATGTGGAATGATCCATAAAGCCATATAAATGAAAATTTATCTTTATAGTTTCTTGAGCCTCTTAATATCCAAGGTGTGCTTTAATAGGTTGAATTTGTAGATTTCTCTCAGATTTATTCAAAGTGTTTTCTTCCTCTGTATTTCATACAGTAAGCCAAATATAAATGTATAGATTGTACTTTTAAAGACTGAAGTTTATATCAATAATGAATCTGTTACTGGCAACATGTTCAAAGGTAGTAATGTGTTAAAACTGTAATAATAGTTTTATTAGGAACATAGCAGAGGCAGATAAAAAGGAATTAACTCTTCATTTGACCAAAAAAGCAAGAAATTATATAATAAAGTAGGGTTAGATGAAGCAGGTGCCCACTAAACAAAGACTTATGGAAACATATTTTTTTAAAAAGAAAAAACCTTAAATGTTCATTTCCAAGTTTCTTCTGATTTTTAATTACCATTTTATTATATTTTATATAAACATTGAGGGTTTATAACTGAAAATACTACAATAGAAGTAAAGAGGAAAATCATTTCCTAGGGGAAAGATGACAGAATCAAATTCAGAAGTAAATTGCAAACAGAAAAACAAAAATGCTATAATCCAAGTTAATTTACTTCTCCTCACATTTATGCTAAGTTTATTCTTAAAATCATTGATTAATTTTATAGGATGTGAGGTATCAAAGTTTTCTTGGAGTTAAAACATAATGCTTACCTTGGTGATTCATTTCTTAAGCTGGGCAACAAGTTCTTTTTTTGTAAAGCTTTAAATTTATCTCCGTTAATGTCTTTAAATATAAGGAGGCTAGCCGTTGAGGTCTTGTCAGATTCAAAGACAAATAGTAATTCACTCCTTAGCTATTTCTTCTCTTGCCAAATCAGCTTTAATTCCAAGAAAGTGAAGTCATAAGCAAAGAAATTATCCAGCTTGACTAATCAGCGCTTTGTTATAGCTAATATTACAGTGAAAGCTTCAACTGAAGTTGTAGGAGTTTTAGCATGTGTAGGATAATGGAAACATTGCTGCACTAACCAATGTGGTCAGCTCATAAAAATCTTGATAGCGGCTTGTCTTTATTCACTTAGAACTGAATGGTGAACTCAGAAACTTCCTTATTTTGTGGCACCTCAGTTTAGGAGGCATAAGGAAGAGAAATGAGAGAAAATGAAATGCTTGATTTAAACATTCAGTGTGGCAGACTGCCTCTCCTAGGTACCAGAAGTACAGACATGAACTAGACAAGCCCTGCTTACAAAGCCTCAGTCTACTGAGGAAGAAAGAGACATGAATGAATAAATTACCGTACCATGGTGCGGTGAGTGCTTTGGAAACACAAATGAGAGGTGCTCGCAGAGGGGCAGGCTGCTGAGAAGCAGTTGAAGTAGGCTTGAAGACAGGGTGGGAGAGGGCTGGGTGGCCAAGGGTGAGTGAACGTGTGAGCCGTAAGCAGAGGCATGAGGGTGGATGCCATGTTTGGGGCATATTCCTGGCCTCATATGCAGAGGCCAGAAGGGCTAGGAAATGAGCCATAGGGTAGAGGGCTAGCT